TGTGAGACTTGCGCCTACTGCGTCCCGTGGCATCTTGTGCGGCAAACCGTGGAACCAGACACCTTCCCGTATTATCTTAGCGTTGACAATCTAAGACACCTATCCGTTAGTCATTTCTTTCGACGTAGAGAAGTATTATCTAGAGACCGTTATCAGTGCAATCATGCTCTTACTGTGGTTATCAACGTAAGTCAAGCGATCCCCCAGACCATGGCAGAGCCATCGGGCTTACCATCTTCCCTTTTTCAACCACTGCCCCAGGCAATCCGCATCCACAGCCCAATCTCTAGTCTAAACGGCAATCCTCAGTAGAAGTAGCTAACTGTTGTGTAGAAGCATCAACAACCAAGCTTGAACAGTCCAATAGACTTCTTATAGAGGCGTTCCTCAGACTGGAGTAGAACCATGGCGTCACTGAAGAAAGAAAAGCCTGGCCTCGGTGTCCTTCTGCGCCATCTTCACTCATGGTCCAGTATACCCGATTTGAGCAACAGCCAGTCGTCATGCCGCGGAGGAAGCTAAACAAACCAGAAGAAGAATATTCAGTAAGGATGACAAATGACAAAGTCATGCAATTCTAATAGAAACTAACCGGATGGTCTAAATCCCCGTTCAGACAGGTCAAGGGGTCCACGACGAGCAGATACCTCCGTGCGGTCATGGCTCAATCACGCAGCTGCAGGGTCTTTGCTGTGGCTTTAAGATTAGTTTCATGTCTTCATCAAAAAGACGTTTAGCCCAGTGCTTCTATCTTGTTCATAGGTCAAGATCATTTTGAAAGAGGAGCAGCTGGATCTGTGCGTTTCTGAGAATGACGGGCCAGAAAATTCTCTGCGGTCTAGTAAATCCCCAGGTTGATGAACTTGTCTGAATCACAGTACTAGTGATGAGTGCAATGCCAAGATAGAACAAAGGAGCAGTCACATCCTCTAGTCCAAAGTAGATATATAGATAAATAGATTGAAATCTTCAAAGGAATGGGATCGTGGTTCTTCAGACGCGAGTGATGATCGTCTCTGAAGGAAAGTTGCGGTCAACGCCGACTACCCCGATTGGTGCTAGCCGATATCTACTATTACTATCACTACTACTACTTGTATCCATGGAGGGGGGAAGATACCTATTCACAGAGCTCGACCGAGAAGTATGAGTACATGCAAGAGAGAGACTACTAAAGACGTAATGACCTAAAAGTACATATGACAGAAGTCCCGAAAGTACATATTACCTGCACATGGGCACCAAAAGGACAACAGATACTGCAAGTGGAATGGCTATGTTGGCCATGTCTCAGGCAACAGCAGGAAAGACAGCAATCAATTCGCTACTCTATCTTTCATCCACCCACCCCCCCAACCAGCAGGCTACACTATTCACCTCCAGCGTTTGCATCGCCCCCGTGGCCATAACCCATCGCAAAGATCCGTATACGGATTCAGTGGGGTCACATGAGAGAGTCAAAGGTGGTACGGTTACCAATCTCGAGTGGTCTGTTAGGCAGCGGAGAGAGAAGGGATGTAGGATGTAGGGAGAGGGAGGGAGGGGGGTTGCAAATGGCGCTATAACGGTGATACAAACATGTATCTGCTGCTAGTCTATCATGCTGCCAAACCCACCATGGACCCCCGATTCTGGCTAGGATCTCGTGTTTGCAATGCCGGTATGACACCGACCGGAAAGCCAATCGCGACCGCAGCATTCTTCATCCAGAAATTCACCGGGGACGTGAGGGAGAGCCATGATATACGAGCACGCCAGATGCCAAGCACCAGACACCATTTTTCTCTTTTCTAGTTCTAAACAAGATTTTGCGGCTTTTCCAATCGGCGCGATGCGTCAAGACACACTAAACCCAAACTTCCTCCCCCTTCCCCCCTCCCTCTCCCTCTCCCCTCTCCCCAAAGCATCTATACCAGAAGGGTGTACTCCGTGCCCGACACGCCTTACCATGAGTGGAAAGTAAGCAAGCAACCAGGCTAACCTTTAGCCCGGCACTCCCAGGGTTAGAACAAGACCGGCTTGTTTCATCTCGCGGGCACTTGTCTCGAAAGGGATATGCTCGACTGGAGGGTCGGCCCTGCGACTGGATTGCTGAGCGTGTAAACTGGGGTCCTTACGTGTCCGGTGCTGAGCTTTACCGATGAGAAAAGAGTGGGCAGGTATAACTTCGATTAATGCATTTGATGATGGAACAGGAGACGGTGTATCGCTTCTCCCTTTGTAGTACTACCGGAAGAAAAAAAAAGTCTGTGCTAAAAAGCAATTATGACCGACGCCCCTATTTTTCGTTTCTTTTTCTCTCTTAGGCTGAATTTTTGCTTTTTGAATAACCGTTACGGACAGTCGATAAGGGTGCGTCGCATGGTCCGCCAACCGTAGGGCGCCGAAATTGTTTCATAGATAGGCAAACCTATCTAGGCACCATTTTGGGTATCCCTGCCAGACAGGGATACTTTTGACCTGTTGACAATCCTTTTTTTTTTTTTTTTATTCTTATCTTATATGTCACAATCGATAGATCTCGTTCTTCCGAGGAAATAAACAATCAAACAAGGGAAAAGCAAAGAAAACAAAAAGTAAAAAAGAACGGGGGGAACAAACGACCCACGAACGTAAAGGATCTCCGGCCCGGCAGAGACCCTTGAGATCGAACAAACAGAAAACCGAAGAAGCTCGGGGCTCGGAAATCCGCTCAGGGTCTGTTTCGGATGAATAGATCATACGGAAGATCAATGGAAACAGCAAGCTGGGATCGTGATGGCGCGCGTCGTATCATCATATGTCGAGTGTAGTAGAGTTGACTATCTAGTTACTTGTTGGTCTGTTAATAGATTAGGACATAATTACTGCATCGAGTGAGAACTCCGCCGATTCACTCCATCAGCAATGGGTGGTGAAAAGGCAGGCGCCGTTGTGATTGGTTCCGATTCAGTCCAAGAGGACAGATGGCGTGGCCCTGCTGTGGGTTAGAGTCCAGTCGGACCGTAGATACCTACCTACTTTGTACAACTCCCACCAAGCAGGAGGAGGTAATCTTGTCGGAGGGGAGCGAGCAACACATGCCAGACTGACAGGCTGAAAGCAGGGATAAATCATCATTGCTATGTTAGTTTCTTCTTTTGTTATTGCCGCGCAGGTAACATCATCGTCATCATCAGCAGCAGCAGCAGCAGCAGCAGCAGCATTGACTGGGTTAGACCAATGGTCGCTCATTCATTAGTTAGGGATTAAGTTTCACCCCTCGGAGAATTTTGACGCATGGCTTCTCGTGGAGAGGACCACCAGTGGTGCAGCGAAACACTGGGTTAGTGTTGATTTTAGTCCCTGCAGAAGCCGGGGGGTTGGTTGTGGATTGGGGGGGGGTGTGGGTGGGAAGAAAGGCGTGCGTATGTGGCCGTTAATCAGGAGGTAGTCTAGTCTAGTCTAGGGTAGTAGTGTAGTAGGAGACCATAGCCAAGGCCATTGTTCTTACCGGTTAAGTAGCAAAAGAAGATGTCGGAACTGGGCAACCGCCCGTTTCCCACCTATTGAAAGGCAGTGCTCCGTCCGGCGGACCGCGATGATCAGATAATGATTTGTATGATAGGGCAGAGCGTTGATGGATGAGGCGAACTTGTTTCATGTCCGATACGAGACAATAAAGGCCACTAAACAGCGCTAGGGCGAGGTGCGACTGCGGTGTTCAGGGAGAAAAGTGAAAGTTGCCAACGATCTTCGCCTCTTCGCTTACGTATATCGGCTGCCCGATCCCGCTAGCGACGCAGAGGCTGACCAAAGTAGCAATATCCACGCGTTTAGTCCCAGGTACCTTACTATCCGAACCTCCCTACCCACTGACTATCTTGCTCTATGCAGTTAATGTACCAAGAATCATTGTAAAATTGCATAACATGTTAATATCTGCCATTATATCTTCCTCAGCAAGCAGCTAGTATCAGTGGTAAAAAGAAAAAGGACAGCGCGCCATTGTCCGTCAGTCAATCAATTGAAGGGTCCAGCGGATACTCCAAGTTCCTATTGGAGTTACGCAGGTACGTAATGGCCCAGCAAGTGCACACGGTAAGTGGAGGAAACCGTCCGAATTGTGTCTATGATTTTATCCTGGGAAGGGGAACTAAGTTCGGAGCCGAGTTTATCCATCCACGGCTAACGAAAGCGCTACTAATAATAAATTGGAGGCCCGAGAGGACCCTGAAAGGCCAAGCAATCTGCTTGGGTTTGGCATGGGTGCTATAATGCTGGCTAAGTGCGTAGTTTACATGCATGTCACCATTCCATACTTTGATTGTCTATATATATTAAATAAATCCATATAAATATATATAAATTAATTTAGACAATAGATAAACAAAAGTCGCGCATGCCTCATGTTCCCTGTGAAGGAAAATCGTCCAAGTCCATTACTTTAAACTAAACACATATGCCTGATCCAAGTAGAGTGAGTGTCCCCATCCATGTCGAACTGGACAAGTGGACTTTTTGCCTAGACTAGTAAAAGCACTCATGCCATCATCAATCAGCAGCAACAGCAGCAGCAGCAGCAGCAGCAACAGTAATAGTGGCAGTGGCAGTGATGTCTTGTCATCATACGATTCTGGAAGTACCTCCGAATGCGACCTTGACAATTCCCATTGGAGTCTGTTTCCTTTCTACTACTGCGATCGACTGCAAACGCAATCCCTTACTGAGAAAAACCACTACAGTCGGCCAGGCCAAGCCCACTGGCTACACTAGGATTGCAGATGTGATCCTTAAATCAAACCTTGGCTTGGAAGAGGCCCACCTGATTTCTGACAGATCCAGTCTCGCTCTCTCTGCCTCTTATGGCGGAGTATATTTCCAGGGTACATGCAGGTACGAAGTCAGCATGGACGTGGATGTGGGCTGGGCTGTACACAGCAAGGTGTGTGGGTGTGGATGGGCTGAGAAATAGCCGCTATGGCCGACTGGCTGACTGACTGACACGGGTGCGCCGCTGCTCTTTTCTACTAGAATTGTCTGGTTGCGTGTCCGTAGTAGTAGGAACCATTCCAGTGTTAGGCGAGAAACAGAGCATTTGCTGAATATCACCTAGTCCAGTGGAATCCAGTTCGAGCGAAATCAGAGGGTGACAGATGGGAGGAAGTAAAGAGAGAAAAAGAGAGAGAAAAAAATTTTTTTTTTATCGAAATGAAATAAAAAATAACCCAAAAAGAAACCGAAAAAAAATTTACTTGAAGCCCCATGTCCATCCTCATTAACTCATCTGTGGAAACACCAGTGGGATTGCTGGAATGTGCAAGTCAGGATGACGATGATTAGGCCCCTGCCCCATGCCCTGCGGCGGCTCACCAATCAACAGCGTGACCGCTTGGCGAGGATGACGACTCCAGGGCTTCTCGAAGCTCAGTAAACTTCGAGTCTCTGTTTCACCTCGCCACTAGTCTTCTTTGGGCGATCTTGCGTCCGGACGCAATCCTTCGTCTTCGCCCAGAGGGGAAAGTCCCTCGCGCTGGGGCGCCGCTGGTTGGCTGCAGTCTCCGGCCAGACCCATGCGGTCGCCCAATCGATCGCGGCCGTCACCCTGGCCCCAACGAGGAGTTAAATTTAAAACCACGCTCTTCAGATGCTGAGTGGATGAGAGCCGGGATCCAGATTCCCCAGTTCTTCAAATGATTGACAGGTCTCAGCTATCAGCGTGTCTCTTTCTTCCCCCCTCTCACACCCCCCTCTGCTAACTTGCTAAGCCAAATGAGGGAGGGAAGAACGCATACCTCCGTGGGAACCCCACCCCCCACTCCTCCTCCTCCTACTACGTTGGAGCTTGTAAGTGAAGTTGAAGTGAAGTAGACTAGACGAGTCTAGTCTAGTCTTGTCTTGGGCGTGGTCGGGTTACAGGTGTCTGTCACAGACCTCTGGAACCACGGACGAAGAGGGTGGGAGAAGTTGGGAGGAACCAGCCGGGGCGGTGCGAGGGATCAGGGGTATCTTTTTCCTTTGCCCGCACCGACCGACCGACGCACGCCTATCTGAGAGGCAAAAGTAATGGATGATGGAGTACTTACTTACTACGGAGTACTAGGTAGGTCCCCATGCACGATGCACACGCATGCTCCGGATGGTATGATAATGATTGGGGTATTTTCTATTGCCGACTTTTTGACAACCTCCAACCCAAGGTACTTCGTTTCCCTCTCAAAGGTACCAACCATCTGTTCTGGTTCTTTGGGAATAAAGGGCTGCGACTTGCATCTCCATCAATCCAAAGAATAGAATTATCACCAATTCCACTTTCTGATGCCACAGGAACTGGATGGATACAGCCCAGTCCAGCCTTTCCCATGGTCTCCGTCCTCCTTTCCTCTTTTCCTCTTCTGGCTCGCCTCGACTCGACTCGACAACCTTAAGATCCCACACAGCCACATTCCATGTGACGGCAATGATCCCTGCTAATATTCTCGAATGCCGCCATCACCCTTTTCAGACACTCGTCAATCTCTGCCTGCCTTGGTAGGTTTGATGAGATGTTTCAATTGGACAGTCATTCATCTTGTCCCTGCGCCTGAAGACATTTCAGGCTGTCTGGACTGCTGTCTGGGACTGCCTCCCAACCAACTCCCAACGATTAGTCGTAGGTAGTATGGAGGGATCTCACATAACATCGGGCAAATCAGTATTCAGCTAGGCAGGTACCTCGAAGTTACCAACGAGTAGCTGAAGTAAATAGTTGGACTAGTGGTGAAGTCCGCCAGTCGGACAGTCCGACGCAAAGCCTACTAACATTCATTAACTAACTAAATACTCCTACATAGTCACCTAAAGGTACAGCCTTTTCTTCGCCATGGTATCATCCTCGGGCATATTAATAGTAAACCAGAGAAAGGAAATGGGGGGGAGAAAATAATCAAATTTTCGAGGGAAAAAAAAATAATAATAATAAATAATAATAAAAAGAGTAGTCTCCATACCTAGCCTGGCGTTTCAGCTTGGGTTAGTAAAGGCTTGCCCACCTGAGGCGAGCTAGTTCTCCGACCTGATTCTTCAGCACTGACAGTACCTTAATACTGGGGGGAGAAAATGGGGGGGAGGAGACACACGATTTCTTCCTTCCTTTAGGGAAAGATTTGGTAATAATGGTTCCGAATAATCCACGCATATTAGATTGCTTGATCTGGCTCTTCGTCATCGCCGGCATCATCAGCACTTTGTCTCATACCTCTCTCCCCATACAGTTTAACCACTGACTCTTGACACTGGGCCTTGTCTGGTTCCTGTGTCTGTCCCTGTTCCTGTTCCTGTTCTCTCTCTCGCTCTTTTGTCTCTGTCCCTTTACTCCTTTCTGCTAATTCTCCATTATCCACTTTGCGACTTACTCTCTGCCTTCCTTTTCCTTCCTTAGCTTCCCCCCCATGGTATAACCCCCATGGAATTTCAACTCCATTGTGCTTGAATCGTCTCAGTAGCCTTTTTATTTTTATTTTATTCCTCCCTCTGTTTTCTTTCTCTCTCTCTTTTGCGCACACATTTATTTTTTTTACCCATTTAATTTACCATTTATCCTTAACTTGTTTTTTTATTCCCTCCCTCTCCATCTCACTTTGTCTGTTTTATTTTATTTTTTATTTTTCACTATTTACTATTTTACTTTTTTTTTTCTTCTCTACCTCTACCCTCCACCTAATCTGGCTTCCACAGCCCCTTTCTTTGCAGTTCCTTCACGGTCCCCTAAAAAGAAAACAAACTCCCAGCTTGGCTGTACAGACAATTCATACATCATACTTACTCCCAACGGGAGCCCAAGAATAATATTATTTCGCTCCGGGTTAAAATCTAAATCCCACCGCGCACAAAGTCCCGAGATCCTAGATCCCGAGCAACAATACCACTACTGCAGTGGGCACCCACTACTACGACGGAAGTAGGTCCTCGGTATTTCCTTTCCTCTTACTACCAAGTACTACTACTGGTTGGCTTCCTTTGCGACTTGACCACCACTACACTACCACCACCACCACCACCTACTACTACTACTACTACTACTACTACCACCGTCTTTCCACTCAACTTGAACTATCGTCCCTCTTCCACCAATTTTCACCTTCCTTTTTTCGCTTCTTGCCTTTCCTTTAATCGTCCGACGTCCTGTCCAGTCTTCTTCTTTCGCATTCACCCATCTATCCGACGTTTCCCCGCTTACTTTCGCATCCTTGTTGTTCTTATTACCTGCATTCACATTGCTGGTTCCCTACTAAATAATTAATGATCCCTAATTTGCAGGCCGGTTCACCATTTCCCGCTATCAACAAATCATCCTGCTTTGAGAAATTAAATCCTGCGATATTTCCGGACATTGCTTCTCCCTCCTGAAGCCCCGCTCCACGATTAGCAACGACGCGACGAGCCAAATAATATACGTCCATCCATTTACCGGTGCTTGCGACTCGGTCTACCCCAAACCCATCGATACGATCCGAGTCTAGGTGGTGGCTACTACAGTACCCTGCCCGCTAAGGAACGACTGTGGAGGCGCACCGTTGAAACCGAAGAATACCTAATATAACAACATACCCCGATAGTCATCGCTATAATTATTTGCGCTTCTGACTGGGTGACGTATTTTTTTATTCGACACTTTTCACTGTCTTGCGCGGCACATTGCATCATCTCGATCCCTCAACTTTATTCGAAATATTAATTTTCGCTGCGCGCTTGGGCGGTTCGAGAAGATCAGCTTGCCCTTCCTCTTCCTCTGTGCGATTGATGTGCTCTAAGCATACAGTCTTCGGTTTCCCATCGCATCTTATATAGGGCTATGCCCGCGGTTGTTGAGGATAACACTCCGATAACAAGATCAGAAGGCCCAGTCATGGAATCTTCCACTGCGGATAAGAAGCGCAACAAGCTTGGATATCATCGCACCTCTGTCGCATGTGGTAAGCTCTCGGTTCTCCGTATTCTCCGTTGGAATACTCATTTCTTATGCGACAGTACACTGCCGGCGGCGAAAGATCCGATGTCTTGTTGCACCAGATGATGCTCAAGGGCGATGCGAGAATTGTATACGCCTCCGGAAGGAATGCCAATTCTTCCCTGTCGACCAGCAGCCCCCGATCGAGAAGAAGTCACGTCCCAGTTCTCGTTTAGAAACCGCTTCGACGGACCCATCGACTGCTTCTTCGTCACCCCCGAATGTGACCGGGGTAGAGCAAGGGGAGCCTTTCTTTACTTATCAGCCTATGCCGTTGGGTTCGAATCCGGATGTGGGCGCCTTCAATACCGCGACCTTTCCGAGCAACCCGATGGCACCATTTACTCCCGGTTTGTGGCCCTACCCAGCAGGAGGAATGTTGGGGTGAAGTGTGTTGACCATTGCCTGAAGCAGATCGCAGCGTCGGTGCTGAATTTGTAGGTCCCCCTCCAATGGAAACCGGGGTTCCGTGGGACGAGTATACGACCATCACAGACCCTCAAATGTTAGCGGCTATGCCCGCGGGGAAAGCGATGATGAACATGTCTACGAACGTTTGGGGTGCGACGCCCAATCCCATGGCACCGATGCCAACCACTTCGCCCCTGCCAGGAACGCCCACAGTCCCGTCGCAGTCGCAAGGCCTGGCACAGACACCCACGTATGCCATGCAGCCTGATGGGACAGTCTGGCAAGTACCCCCAACACGTGCCATGACATTTTCGGCACAACCCGCAGACATGGCAATCCCGTATCCGAACCAAGGTCAATTCGTGCAGCCGTCGCCGGCAGATCTTAAACGAAGAATGACCAGCCCGGCCCAGTCTTTCCCCGGAACTCCGATCAACCCCCAGAGTCCTCCTGCAGCGGATCTACAGTCGGTGTCCGTCTCATACCCAGGCCAGCCGGCCGCTATGGGATTCAACACCTGGCAGGATGTGAACAGCATGTCCCCCATGAGTGTGGTCCAGTATCCGATGTACGCGAACGATGCAGCCCAGCAAGCAGGGTTTGGCAGCCCGCCACCAATGGGCCACCCCGGTCCAGGCCAATCCCCGCAATAATGAGCTCAAGAAGAGCGGAGATGACAAGCGCTTCAGAAGGAAAACAAAAAGCATCATCGGATTCGCTATTTAAATACCCCGTGCGACGTATTGCATCCATTTCTTTATCTCACTTCTTTCCCATATCATTCCATCCCATGCATGCACCTTTACTTTTACCGGCTGGTCATTAGCGGGCGCAGAGGATCTTGGGCGGTATTTTACTCTTCGTTTGTTCCATGAGACCCCTTCCCTCTTGATTGAGGCATCATCTCTCTACATGCGCGGCTCAGGGAGCAAGTTCTTCTAGACTCTCTTTCGTTGCTCTCCGGTTTTTCATTTCATCAATCTGCTTTTTTTTCTTTCACCTACTGTTCACATTAGCTTTGGATATCCACGGTGGGGTTCATGAGCTACGCATTCAGCCACCAGCGGGACAGGTGTCTGATCATTGGTTTTGAGTGGCGTTACCGGCCTAGTCCAGTCTCATATACTGGTCCTGGCGCTGTCATGCAGCCCTCGATCGAAGACTAGTCTGGACCGGCCGGACTCTTATGATTTCATTTGCTTTGCTTTAGTCCCCTGCCATGCACCTAGTCATGTCCGTTGTCGACGAGTCGATTGAAAAGGGCAGACAGACGGATGGAAGGAAAGTGGCCATGTTTATGCTTTTGCTTGTTGCTTTCTTATTGACATAGACTCCCCCTATAAGCCACCCTCTACCTCTAGTACCCTATCATTATGGAATAGAAACGGCACACAAATGCCTCTTAGTTCATTGCAGATCCCACAGTCTTTCGTGTTCCTCCCTATCCCTTCTCTGCGTAAAGCAGAATCCTTTTGGTTTATGGCGCATATGGTATAGAGTATCCCTCATCCTCGGGCTTACCCTGACAATTGCAATATGCCATACCGTTTGAGTGGCTGTTGTTTCAGTGTCTTAGGCTGCTTGGTGTAGCTGCACTTAGATAAATATGTCTGCCCAGTCACACCGGTAGGGGATGCTTGATATTAGCCGGCAGTCGCTAGAAGGAGCTAGATTGAAGCCAGAACGCAATGGTTAGTGCCAGTAACAGCAATATTCGCTGCATCTGAGGATCAACCAGGTGGCCTTAGCTCTAGAATCATCTTAATGTGTAAGTTCTCCACATATCACTTTCTCACATACCATCATTACATCCATTCTGCCGCCAGTCCTTTCACATCGGAAGCTTTATACAGGGTTCTCTTCTGGCAACACTTGATACGAGAACAAGCGGCTCGAGATTTCCGCAGTTCACATCACAGCCATGTTCCGTCACATGTTTGTGGATATCCACCCAGGTTTGAATTGCATTTGTAGATGGACTCATTTGTCGACGCGCAGTAGCCACCGAATTGATTCGTGAGACTTGACACCAAACATCCCAGCACTCGATTGCCTTCTACGTGAAGAATTTGTGCTTACTGCCATCACAACATATTCTTCAAGACGCCAGCCAGACCAGAAATGACATCATCGGTGTGACGCGATCTGGACGCATCCCGATTAGGCAGGCACAGGGTGGTCACGAGGAGCCCTGTTGTAGTAGAGAGTTACTACAGTGTCAACTCTCACTCCTGTCTGTGTTTTACTACATCCTCTTCATCTTCAAAGCACAACTCCGAACTACATGATGTCTGCTATCCTGCTGATGTATCCATGAAGATACGTCACAGGCAAATTGCTTTTTCTACGTTTGCTTTTCCCGCACCATGTCGATAACACCGTAACACTGACAATATGATTGGAAGATTCCCCGACCCTTGCTAGCTGCAACGGCGATCAGAAGAACAGACAGGCCACCTAAGCAATGGCTTGCCGTCCACTATTCATCCAAATGACAACCCCGGACCAAACGGATCTTCGGGCTTGGTTGACTGATAAACACCGTGACCTTCACAGGCGGATCTGCCAATAATAGGGGCATTCTGCAGTATTGCTTATCACACTGACGGATTCGCCTGGCGGGTTGAAACCGGAGCAGACCAGGAGAAAGTATATTTGCTCCGAGGTGATAACGATCCTCTGATAAGCTCGGTCGGGGATCGAATTTCGTGAGAGTACATAATGTCCGGAGCGGAACCATGCTGAAGGAATGCTGTGTCGCTGCTCACACTCCTGTGGGCTTTGCTCTGTGGCCTTCTGCAAGACTTGAGTATACTGGGTATGAGTCACTGGCTTTTCAGAAGTGATCGGTGCGTGTTGTGTGTGTGGATGTGTGGGTATGGGGGTGTGTGTGTGTGCGCGCCACCGATCGTTCGGTCTGGGGTCCGATAATGCGGAGAGCAACAGCCTCACTTTATTAATATCATCAACGGCCCTGATAGCCAGCATTAGCTGGGTTGATAACAGCTGTCATGCTGCAATCTGATTGCCTCTTCGAGGATGATTGCAGGCTCAAGGTACCAGGTTCAGCATCCACGACGTGACGTGTCTGTGCTTTTCTGGCCTTATCTCCAGGCTGTCCGGGCGTCTCGATGGCGACAATATGCATAGTTATCAATATGATTATCGCGACTCCTGGCCGATGGTCGGCGAGGGCCCCTGTTTTGACCGAGGGCGCTCCTCCAGTACAAAATCCGGTGCTGCTCCCATTGGGCTGAGACTTCTGATCTCTTCGCCCAGTGACAGGGACTGACAGGTGAGAACCTGGTTGACCGCCATTCACCTGTGATGCCTTATCGCGCTCCTGTGGGGGGCTGTATGTGGTTAGTAGAAGCCAGTCAACCCCTTTGGGCGCTGAAGGCCTTTTCCTGGAGTTTTGTGGATCATATATAAACACTGGAGGTCGAAGTTATCGACAGTGACTGCTGGCTTTTCAGTTCCTCCTTGTTCCTCTGGCATTTTCTTCCCATTTTTCGTCGCACATGGCAGACAAGGCTAGCATTTGAGCTCTTTTATTTTCTCACGATGCTCAAACCATCGGTATATAAGAGAAGCCGTGTGTGTACTGTGGATAAAGTCCAGTTTTAACGCTGACTCTAGTGCCCCATTCTACCCCCAAACTATCTCCACGCCCTCCCCGTCCCGACCCATCGGTTCATGCTAGCATCTCTTGTATATGTACACACTTACTCGCAACTAGGGGACATGCTACTGGCACATGCAGACACTCTTTGACGGCGCAGTCATTCCCTTCTTGCATTGCTAGCCAACCCTCCTTTCACGGTCGCATTTGATCTTCGCAAAATTCTCTCGACCGCACCAGTCAGGCTTCATCAGGCATTCCCTCTCAGCATACGACGACCCTCCATGGGCATGCTGGCACGTCTTATTTCCACAGTTCCTGCACACTCGATGCGGGAAAAGCTCATTGCAGGGTTCAGGCTGTATTGCATTGACTGAATTTCCGGCGCACCCGCGCCAGCCGCGAGAAAATCGAGCCGATCCTAGCGTGGGGGGGGGTAGGAATATGCCGGAAGATGAATGCTTTCGCTATCAACTTTGGTCGGATGTAATCTTTTATGCTCATGATTGACATCTCCGGTGCATTTCTGATGACTATTATCTGTCTTCCGATTGATGCTGCCTGACAGCGGCGCATGACGCCTCGATCCACATTTGAACAAAACAGGAAGGACTTATTGAACCTTCCACTGACTGGAGACAGAGTGGGAGACGAAAATGGGAAATATGCCGAGGCTGGAATATGGGGTGAAGGCTACCCCAATAGTTGACACGGAATATGGGCCGGATGTCTTCCGGGTGCTTTCCGCCTAGTGATGACGTCTCAGATCGTCCCCGGCGACGCGGTATGCTGGTCCAGTCGGTCGGTGACGTTGCCTGATTATGATATTGCATGATGCGAAGCGATCAACCTTCTGGTGCTATACGGGATATTTCACGCCGACCCCTTGAAACTAACATTCTAAAGATATTGTCGAGGGGTCCTAGAACAGGTTTGACTATGGTGGGCCGGAAGCTCGATTTGCCGCACGCCAGAGGGAAACTACGAAGTACGGCTATCCCAGACACTCTTAGCGACGGTGTACTTACTTGGGCTGGTTAGCTCAGGCACGCATATGTGCTTCATAAGACCGATTTCCTGTTCGAGCGTCCCGCCGGAAGTTGGTCGCTGCATCCGGACCAAAAGGGAGTAGTCATACCCCGTCTTATTCAAGGTTTGTGTGGCGCTGGCTCAAGAATGCTGGAGATGCGAATTATCAACACTATTGATGATGATTACAGAATATAGGAATGAGTTGGAATGGGCCTTATTGGGCGTGTCCGTGGACCATGAGGTAGACAGGCTAGAGATACTGTCGATCGATGGGCATTTTCCGGCCAACGGAGTTAAGGCCGGGCGGGTGAGTCAGCCGGATCCGTGCACGGCGCCACTCGCCCGCTTTGCCTTCCTCCCAAGGCTCCTGTCTATTCCCGTCGAACTCTATTGCTTTTGCCACGGCCCCAATATACCCCCCCAAAACCAATGACTGGCTGCGCTTGATATTGCCCTTTCACATGCTGGCTGACCTTGTGCTTGCTTCGGGTTTTATCCTTTTGTTGACCAAATAAGTTTGTCGGTCTTACCCCAGCTTGGTCGTCCTTTTGGAGCCAGGCGACTGGGAGCGACAATCGTGGCGTGCATCTGGAGAGTACTCCATCGCTTCGAAATGACCCCGATTGACGGACGGCCATTGGCCGCGATGACCAAGGTCCATTACATGCTTATCTGCTTATCTGCGACTCTTATCTCCAGGACATCGTGGGTAGCGTGGGAGACCGTGATTATGGAGCGCTAGTGCGGTGGACCTCGCGGTTGTTCCTCCCGTGGGGCCGAAACGTGCTTGAGAACCAGTACAGAAGCAATCAACGACTCATGCTGGCGCGTACAGAAGGGGCAGCTTACTGTGGTCACTATCTACTGCCTGTGCAGGCATGCAGTGGCCAAGTGACTGTCCTGTGCTCGGTTGCCCTTTTCTCAATACATGATCCATGCGGCAGGACACCCACTCTTTCCGGCCAACGATGATGGCTAACGGTTTCCCTAGACAACCTTGTCTGGGCTTGGCAATATCTCATACGCCTCGATCATCAGCCGTGTTATTCGTTAACTGCTTATTATGACTCGCCACTTGCAGGGGTTTCTAAAGTACTGGGAAACGCCTCTTGCACCGTGCTTTTGCCCGGGGCCGCGCCCGCACCAGTGTTGCAGTAAATAGGGATTAATACCGAATAAGAGCCTGATGAGCACTACCGTCATGATTACCGTTGACCAGGGCCCTGGGCTAAAGCCGGTTAATACGACGACGCGCCAGGACGAGGCTGTGAACCGACTACTGCATCATCATGCACTGCAGCTGCAGGATCGGATAGTTCTGGCCAACGAGTGATCTGGCCCAATTCAGAGGAAGCATGTCGGGCGGGCAGGCACAACTGGGGGAGGAGATGGAGAGCTTCATCCTCTGGTTGAATCAGAGCAACAAAGGGACCCCGCAACCATGGGTGGATCCACATGCATCAAGATGAATCGTGGATTTCTCCCTGATTAATATCTCTGCACCTGGGAGTGGAACAAAGGCAGCTATGAGGCTGTAGGGATTACTCGTAGCAGCAGTGGCTAGCCCTGCTGGCGTACTGCCTATGCTTACTAGGCGGTGGTTTAGTCGATGCTTGTTACGCGCTTGAAACGCCTCTGACCAAACCGTCAATACCGCAGTGAATTACCGGGTCATACGCGGATCGGGTAAGATAGGGAAAGCCAGCTCCGGTGAGCATCCCGTAGTAAGGTAGACTTCCAACCAGACAGCCTGACGATGAGGAAGGTTGCCAACTTACGAGGGTCAGTCTCGTACCTGCTTCGGGTTTCCCCCTCGGCCGTCTTCTGCTGCCTGCGGCCAATTCTCCATTTTGCGAGATGAGGGTGGAGAGTTGGTCCGACGACGCCTTGTCCGCGGGCTGGTCGTTGGCTGGCCTCCCCAGAGACCTGCCTCCAGAGGGCTGGCCAACACGGCGGCTGCTCGAGTCCACCGTGTCCGCAAGAGGACAGCAACCTTAAAATTGGACGGTCTCGTGTAGCAGGCTAGCAGCATGGACGGTGGCCATGTGCCTGACGGTGGGCTATGAGTGTGTCTCCATCCACGCGACGGAGAGAGAAATGGATCACTCGAGGGCTCGGGGGTCGTCCGGGCCAGGCGGACAGCCCGATGGTGGACAGGTCCCGCCCCGCCGCTAGTGCCAGCGTCGAGGACATCGGGACGATGCGCTCGCTCACTCGTGGTGGCTGGCCTGTCGTCCTTGTTCCTCCTACGTCCGGAGAAGAGGTCCGATGAGCGGAGCAGGCCCTGACCCGTTGCTCAGTGTGGAAGGGGTCGCCGGTCAGCTACGCAGTGTCGGAAATTCCAGAGAGGAAGGGTGCACGGTATGCTGTCCTGCAGGAGCGTCCAAGTGGACACGGTCATTTAACCATCGGGCCGATGGGACAGACCAAAGATGGATCATGCATGCAAGCGCACAGTCCAGGCTTAATAGATTTGATTCCAACAAGGTCAGGGTTAAGGTAGTGACTAGGGGAGCGACTATCGTGCGCTCAGATCGCATTATCCCAAGCGATAACAACAGCTTTATATGGGTTTTCGGCCGACGATAGGGGGGTAAGCTTTTTAGTCAAGCGAAGCATCGGCTGATCACAATCCCAGTCCATCCCGGCCCATCAGTCGGTTGGAAGTATACTTGATTTCATCGATGATTTGTATGAAGCCAACAGGACTGGCGCGCGCGATGTGTCAGAGGTGAGTCGATGGTTGTGGCGAGGAGGACTACGGGAGGTATCTACTGTAGTACTACTAGTGAGTGGCACAGGAAACCTAATCCCCGAGGAGGGTCGCGGAGCTCGCTGGCCCGAATACCTGGGACAAGACAATTCGTATACATCAGATTGAGCAGCAGCAGCAGCAGCAGCAGCAGCCGACTACTACTACAACTGGGAAGTAAGTTATGTCGGGGTTTTCAGGACTCGGATTGTTTTACCATAGGCTGGGCCTGACTGCGACAAGCCAGCGACGGTCGGCTCTTACGGTCGCTTGGCGGGCGATGATTGGTGGGGGAATTCAGGCCAATTCCTGGCTCCGAATCAGGATCCGGATCGGTCTGCTGCATCCATCTTTTTAGTCGCATCCCTCTGCTGGATGTGTCTTGGGTCTTGGGTGAGAAAAGCAAGCTACAGAGTACTAGTTAGTTACCTGTGTCGTGATGATCTCGACCCGTCTGGCGTGTCAGGTAGACTGACAGACAGCCAGACATACTATACTAGACCAACAAACACACCATCGTTTCCGAGACGGATGATCAGGGAGAGGAGAGAGCAAGTAAGTCTCGAGAGGAGACTAGTACTATGAGAGAAGAGAAGCATGGATGGGTTAATCTAAACGGACGGCGCTACTGCAGCTTTAGTGCTTCGAGAAACGCCAAAAACCCATCCCGACCCGCGCCACTGGCCAGGCCGCCCGTCACGGTATTACATGGGTATGAAACCAAGCTGCAGAGACGCAGCTAGTAAGGATACTTCACTTAGTACTATAGTAGGAGAGAAACAACGTATTCCCAACAAGTAGCAGGGGACAAAGGAGGGGCAATGAGTTGGAGGTGGTTGGAGGTCATAATGGGGATTGTATATAATATATCCTGTATACCATTGTTACTCCAGGCTTGTTGTTCCTGCTGCCAGAACATTGAATTGACGTGAATTGCTGTTGTTGTTGTCGTTGCTGCAGTGAATCTTGAATTTCCATTTACCATTCATTCAGTTCCAAACTTTGTCAGTTCTGCTACTTACTACGGCGGGAAGCTAAAAATTCCGGCAGAATCCCGGCGGGCAAATCAGCGTGGATGCGCAGGGACGTTCC